TAAGAGCTTGGAATGGAATAATATAATTCTTCTTAACAGATTTTTAAGCATGAAAGCTTCACTGACTGCTTTAACCAAGTCAAGGTCAGCCACTGATGTGAATTACCTGTTGCCATCGACACTCAGTAGAAAGAAAAATCATATTGGTCAACTTCTCTTTATACTAACAGCATTGGGATTTAAAGAATTACCATTATTTAACAAGTGAAATTTAGGAAACTTTTAAGCCTAACAAGTACATTAATAAAATACAGGAGAATAATATTCTTTGTGAAGTGTGATTCTTTTTGAATAGCTAAAAAATACCTTACTTCAAAAACTGACAACTCTAAATAAAAATTGTCTGCAATTCTTGTGAATACTAATATGAATTTTCTTTCTTACTTAAATGTTAATTCCATTGTAAAGGAAAAATCTATGTCTATCTGTAACAGTTATTTGGTTACAGTTGATTTTTTTCCCACCAATCCAGCATATTTTGGAACACGATCTTTAGTAACACACTATGACTACCATTGCTTTAAGTGTAAAGTAGTAGTATTCACTCTGTGCAATATTGTAAAGTAGAAGCATGGGGCAAAAGTACACATCTCAGCTACTCAGAAGTAGTATTTTACTCTTTTGTACCTCTTAGCTATGTCAGAACTAGATTGCCAAATACACACAATTTCTTAGGAGAATGTCAGTGTTGTCATGATAAAAGAGTACTACATTTGAGCAATTATAGGAAGAATGTTAGTTTCAAAAGCCCTACATCTTGAACATTCTACTGGACAAACACTTTTACCCCTGTGATCTCACACACCTTTTAAGTAGCATTCTTAAAAATAAATTAAGTCATAGTAAAGCTCCCGTCTCCCATCTCCTGCTGAGTCTGGCTTACTCTGCACCCTACCTTTTCTAACTCTGCTAACCACAAAATAATTCTTGGAGGGTAAAAATTTAGGAAACTCTTCCTAAAATAGCAATTATACTCTTCCTAAAATAGCAAACAAAAAACCTTCAGTTTTTCGTTCTTCTCACATTGTAACTCAATACAAAAATTTCAGAGTCTGTCTCAATTTTTCCCTTTTCCTCACCTTCTATATCCAGACCACTATAACTCCTATATATTCTATATCCAAAGCTTATTTCACACTATTTTTCTACAACTTCTAGTTCAAGTCCTCACCCAGGGAAGTATTATCTATTACCTGAATTTTGATAAGAAACTCCTGGAAGTCTTCATTCTCCTATCCCCTCTAATTCAAATTTTACTTCCATGCTTACAACAATTAAGTGACTTCACATTTTGCTCAAGATGTAAAAAGGCAAACACATTTTCACTACCTTTTGGGTTCTGCATGTCTGGCCACTCCCCACCCCTCTGTGTTTATCACATTCTAAGTTTATTTAAAGCACTTAACATGTCTTTCAGTGCTACAAGGATATCACAGCCTTTGCTGTTTGAGGAATGTCACACATGTTTTGTTTCGGTATTTTTCCCTTCCTAGAATTTTTTCTCTCTTTCTTCTCAAAGACAGCTTTTCCTCACTGTCCAGATCTCAGGATATATGTCACCAGTTCCCAGAGCCATTTCTAACCATCCTTTCTATAGCAGGTCTTGGCTTGTCCAATCCCATTATCTCTATCTTGTTCATATAGTTGTTTCCTTTATGACATTTATTTTAGTTATTAAACATTTATTATATTATGCAATTATTTTAACCTGTCTCCCAAAACAGAATATAAGTTTCTTAAAGTTAAAGATTGTTTATGTTTTGTTTACTTATTCTTTTGTAGAGGCTATCACAGTGCCTAGCACATAGTAGATGCTCACTAGTTTTTGCAGATATAGTTGAAAAATGACTACTGTGTATTCATTCTGGCTTTTTTCCTTGCTTATTTTTAAATAGTTTTGTGACCATAAATGTCATATGTCCAACACAAACTTCTGAGTTACAAAAGTGTAAATAAATTTAAATTATAGTGTAAAATATTGGTTGTACTATCAGGTTTGAGTAAATTATTTTTAGTTTATTTTCCCATTATATCTCCTAGCCATATGTAATTTTTAAATTTTAGAATTACAGAAGATTTGCAATAGCAAGGGAATTTTATATACCCTTATCCACACTCTCCTAATATTAATATATTACATAACCACAGTACAATTAACATTCATACAATAATGCTAAAAAAAACCACTATAGACTTTATTCTAATTTCACCAGCTTTTCCCCTAATGTCCTTTTTCTATTTCTGGATCTACTAAGGATCCAACATGGCATTTAATTGCTGTGTCTCTTGGTTTCTTCCAATGGTTGACACTCAGTCTTTGTCTCTTTCAGAACCCTATTAATTCTGAAAAAATTAAGTCAGATATTTTGTACAATGTCCCTCAATGTGTGTTTGTCTGGTTTCCTCAAACTTAGATTGAAATTTTATATTCTGGGCAAAAATACCACAGAGATTATGTGACCTTATCAGAGAGCACATAATATCAACAATTCATTTCTTTTCCTTGTGATAAGAAACTTTTAGATTTATTATCTTGGCAACTTTTAAATATGCACCACACAGTTACCGACTATGGTCACCAGGCTGTACATTACATTCCCATGACTTATTTTATAACTGGAAGATTGTACCCCTAGATCCCCTCCTCTAAGCCCTCTCTTGTCTGGCATCCACCAGTCTGTTGTCTGTATCTATGAGTTTCGTTTTTAAGAGTCCACATATAATGAAGTCATATTGCATTTGTCTTTCTTTGACTTATTTCACTTAAGTGTAATTACCTCATGGTCCTTCCATGTCGTAAATGAGAAGATTTCATTCTTTTTTGTGGCTGAGTAATATCCCATTATCTTGGCTACTGTGTACAATACTGCAATGAACATGAGAGAGCATTAATCTTTTCAAATAGTGTTTCAATTTCTTTGAATAAATACCCAGAGGTGGAATCACTGAATCACATGGGAGTTGTTTTTAATTTTTTGAGGAATCTCCATACTGTTTACCATAGTAGCTGCATCAATTTATATTGCCACCAACAGTGCACAAGGGTTCCCTTTCTTCCACATCATCAGTAACATTTGTTAATCCTTGTTTTTTTTTAATACTAGCCATTCTCACAGGTGTGAGGTGATATCTCACTGTGGTTTGATTTGCATTTCCTTTATGATTAGTGGTGTTGAGCATCTTTTCATGTGCCTTCAGGCCATCAGTGTTTTCTTCAAAAAAAAATCTATTCAGATATCCTCTGCTCTCTTTGTAACAGGACCTTTTCTTTTTTTGCTATTGAATCATATGAGTTTTTAATATATTTTGTATATTAAACCCTAATCAGACATACGATTTCCAAAAGTTTTCCCATTCAGTAGATTGCATTTTCATTTTGTTGATGGTTTCCTTAGCCGGGCAGAAGCTTTTTAGCTTGATGTCATCCCATGTGTTTATTTTCTATTTTGTTGTCTTTGCTTTTGAAATCAGATCCAAAAAATCATCAAGATTGATGTCAAATAGCTCACTGCCTATGGTTTATTCCTAGTTTTATAGTTTGAGGTCTGACATTTAAGCATTTAATCCATTTTGGATTAATTTTTGTGTATGGTGTAAGATAGTAGTCTACTTTCATTCTTTTGCAGGTGTCCAGTTTTTATAATCATTTACTGAAGAGACTGACCTTTCCCACTGTATCTTCTTTGTTATCTTCTTTGTTATTAATTAATTGACAATATTTGCACATGTTTATTTCTGGGCTCTCTATTCTTCTCCATTGACCTATGTGCCTGTTTTTACACAATACCAGTACCACAGCATTTTGATTACTATAACTTTATAATATAGTTTGAAATCAGGGAACATGATGCCTTCACTTTTCTCCTTTCTCAAGACTGTCTTAGCTATTCAGGGTCTTCTGTGATACTGTAAAAATTTTAGGATTATTTGTTCTACTTCTGTGAAAAATATCATTGGAATTTTTAAAGGAATTACACTGAACCTGCAGATTGTTTTGGGTAATATGGACATTTTAGCAATATTAAATCTTCCAATTCATAAGCATGGAGTATCTTTACATATATTTCTGTCTTTTTAGATTTCTTTCATCAATGTCTTATATTTTTCAGTGAATAGGTCTTTCACCTATTTGGTTAAATTTATTCCTAGTAATGGGACTATTTTCTAAATTTCTCTTTGTGATAGTTTGTTGCTAGTGTATAGAAATACAACAGATTTTTGCATATTGATTTTGTACCCTGCAACTTTACTGAATTTGTTTATTAGTGCTAATAGTTCTTTTTGCGGAGTCTTTAAGGGTTTTTTATATATAAAAGCATGTCATCCACAAATGGAGACAATTTACTTCTTTTCTAATTTGGATGCCTTTTATTTATTTTTCCTTCCTGACGTCTCTGGCTAGGGCTTCCAATACTATGCTGTGTAAAATTGGTGAGACTGGGTACCCTTCTCTTGCTCCTGATCCTAAAGAAAATATTTTCACCTTTTTAATCATTGAAAAATGGTGGGCTTGTCATACATAACAGCTGTGGGCTCATCATATATGGCTTTTATTATGTTGAGGTGCATGCCCTCTATACCCACTTAGTTGAGAGTTTTTATCATAAACAGATGTTGAATTTTGTCAAATGCCTTTACTACATCTATTGAGATGATCATATGAATTTTATCCTTCATTTTTTTAATGTGTTGTATCATGTTGGTTGATTTGCAGATATTGAACCATCCTTGCATCCCTGGAATAAATACCACTTGATGACATATATGATTCTTTTAATGCATTATTGAATTCACTTTGTTAATATTTTGTTCATGATTTTTGCATCTATGTTCATCAGGGATATTAGCCTATAATTTTCTTTCTTTGTGTATGTGTGTGTATGTGTGTGTGTGTGTGTGCAGTGTTCTTATGTGGTTTTTGTATCAGGGTAATGCTAGTCTCATAAAATGAGGAATTCCTTTCTAAACATGTTGACAGAAAGGCACAACTCTCCAACTTTTCAGAGTGAGTACCTTCTCAACATTTTTCACACAACCACAGCAATGATCCCACCAATGAATCCAATGGATAGTAAGATACTACAATTCCAACGAAGGTCAACGCCATCAAGCCATCTTTCTCAACTGTTGCCTGTGTCTCTCCACCTACTTTCTCTATTGAGTAAAAAGATGCTATATTGGGAGTTGTGGTGCTCTGGATTTTGTCTTGGGCATAGTCTTTGCGTTCTGTAGCTGGCAGATCCTTTGTGTGAATGTCTGTTATACTCTCTGTACTTGTTGACACAAGAGCAGTCAAGCCAGTGGACTTAAAGGGCTTTTCACTGGTACCTGGGGTCTCCATGCCATCTTCCAAACCTGTAATCATAATGTCATACTGTGTTGGCTCCTTCTGCCCAGACTCTGGGCAATGTGCTCCCCAAAATGATGAATAGAACTAGCACCTTCCACATCTTAGCTGACCTGTTCTTTTTGAGGTCAAGCAGCTAGTTTCCATGCTATGGAAGATTAAAAAGCTCTGTAGCCTCAAGGCCATTTCCTGGTGGAGCACAAGAGTAGGGATGGAATATAGGAAGCAAAATCCCAAGTGCCAGAGGAGTCCCCAAGCTTTCTGTACCTGCAACTCTGGAGAAGCAAACTTTGCAGTCAAGAACTTTCTGAGCAGAGTCATAAATTATCTTCCCCAAAGGGGGCAGGGAGCAGTCCGCTGTAACTTGGTCTTACTCCAGGGCTCACTAGGCCCACCCTCTAGCTCTTTAGTCAGTGTGAAAACAGTAACTTTAGGCAAGGTATGGGTTCACACTGGATAGGGCTGCCAGGACATGTGGAGAGCCCTGAGCAGCAGTAAAATTGGCTTTATTCTGTTCCCCAGCAAGAAGGGAAAGGGGACATACGAAACAAGTGTTTTTTTTTTAAATTTATGAATTATATGTATCATTCTGTTTTTTAAGAGTAAGGCATAAGCCTAGATTTTTCTTGTTATGAGAAGTAAACTGCCCCTTGTTAGACAGAAATTTTAGAACCAAGTATGGAATTGTTTATGTAAATACTGGTTGGACCTGATGGTTTAAAAAAAAAGTGGTCATCCTCAGCAGGATGGGTCAAAAGTGGCTCACACTGGTAAACTGTGCCCTTGTTCAGGAAAGCAGAGCACACGGGCTCCTGGGGGATGCCTAAACCTGGTGGGCAGCTTTGTGGACTCAGTGGCTTTGGCAGTTTGGGGCAAAAGGCTGAGCTCAAGGTCTGCCTCTTCTGACTTTGGATATACAACTGAGATGTTGGGGACCACAGATGTACATAAATGGATGTCCACCTGCCATTTTTGGTTTGAAGATGGAGTAGGCCATGGGAAAAGACCAGAGTGGTCTCTGATAACTGAGAGTGATCCTTAGCTGAGGGCCAGCCAGCCTCACGCCTACAACCACACAGAACTGAATTCTGGCAAATTCTTGAATAAGCCTGGAAATAGATTCTTCTCAGGAATCTCCAGATAAGAACCCAGCCTGGCCAACACTTTGATTTTTACCTCATGAACACAATCAATCCTGCCTGGATTCTGACCTATAGAACTGTGAACTACTAAGTGGATGTTCTTTAAACCACTGAGTAGGTGGTAACTTGTTATGCTGCAACTGAAAACTAATACAGGCATCTTGGCATGACCTCTTGGTATGAGAGCTCTGTCTTCATCTAAGAAAACCTCAACAGCCTAGGATTTAAAACAGTTAAATCACATGGTAGGAGAAGGAATGAAGGTGAGGTGCAAGGGGACAAAAACAGACTCAGCTTCCCATTGTTCGAAATAATATGATATATATATGTATTGATCTCTACCCTCATTTCTTGAGTCAGAGCTCCAAAGACCACTTGCAAATAAGGATGCGAGGAGAATCTTTTTTTCTGATATCTAGTCTTTGATCCTATTTGCCAACAGAGAGCTCCTAAAACCTGTGTAATTTTCTGAATGATAGGAGCATCTAATGCAGAACTTCTAAATCAATTAGAATACCCTGAAGTGTCTTTTGTTTTAATAAGGTGACTCTTGGTGGGCTCTTAGATGGGGACTGGTCACCAAAAAGACCAACTCATGGTTAGAAGTTTGGGATTTTCAGCCCATTCCACATTCCCCAAAGAGAAGAGAGGAGCTGAAAATGCAGTTAATTAGCAATCATGCCTATATGATGAAGCCTCCATAGAAATCCCAACAGTATGAAATTCAGAGAGCTTCGCATCAGTGTGCTGGGAGGGTGGCACACCAAGCAAAGGGACAAGGGCTCCTGTGCTCTGGATGCTTCTGGGCCTTGTCCTATGTACCTCTTCATCTGGCTGTTCATCTGTACCTTTTATCATATCGTTTATTATATAATAAATTGGTAAATGTTAAAAAAAGTGCCCCCGATTAACACAAACATCTTCTCAGCTAGATACTGAAAGACTTCAAAACATCTGCTGTTGGTGGGGTTTTGTTTTTAATGAGACTTCTGTGCAGCTTGTGAAAAGAAGTCTGCAGACTTCATCTGGATGAAGGCATTTCCTGATGGGCAGCCCTGGTGATTCGATACCATATGAGCCTTGTGAGTTGGAGTATCTGTGGGAAACTCCCAGAATGCCCAGCATGTCCTCAACTGTGATCACATAGGGAAGATCTTGAAAGCATATACAGTGTCTAACATTTGCAGGGGCACAAACTGCTGAGGTGGTACTGGAATAATGGAAAGGGCTGGAAATGGGGTGAGAGGGGCCAAGGAGAACTGATTCAGAACCTGATGAACTCTAACTGCTGTGCTTCTGATGAGGTAAAAGGTACATCTTACCTAACAAGTTCTTATGCTTCCTCAGTGCACTCTGGTCATATTCCTCCCAAGGCAAGGAGACGAAGGCATCCCTTGTTGCCCTACCCCCCTGGGTAGGTAACAAGTAGGATGTCTTACTTCCCCCCAGTAATGGGACAACCCTGTCTAAAGGCAGCCAGCATTTCATCAGCTGTGGCCATGAATGGGAGCCTCTGCAAACACACAATTTTATTTTCCTTGGAGAGAAATTGGCCTACCTCACTGGATATGCCTCCAGCACTATTAAGAAAATCTTCACTTACTGTTTTGTAAACCTCAGCATATGGGGTCTCTGTGTGATGTCTGTGCCTCTGCAGTCCTAGGTCACTGTGCTCCTCAGTTAACCTAACCAGAGCTTCCCTATTCCTTCCACCCTGGCCATTCAAACAAAGCGCTGCACCTCCCTCTGCCACACTGAGTCTTTTGAAGAATCCTGCAATGTTTTCCTCTGAACACCGCCATCGTAAACCTCCAGCCCTGACTACAGTGTTTATCATCAGTAAGTTCCATCCTGCTGCCAATGCCACTGTCGTATTTGTGATTTACTCTCTCTGGATCTCTAAACCTGTTATTATAAGACTCTGAAATCATTGCTAAAATTATATTCCCCACATCTTCAACTTGCGAGGCTCCATACTGGGAGACTGAACTATTCTTCTCAAAACTTAAACACGTTGTCATTGCTGCACCATCCAGTGCGTCAACATCAGGTGAACCGGGGCAATGCTTCCTGAATTATTTTCAAAGATCAAAAAGGAATAGAAGCATTCAGGCAATACTACATTTTTCCTGAAAGCCTCAGAATGCAGGATCTCCCTGACATGAAGCTACCCATCAGTAGACAGAAGGCGGTCCGTGCCCCAACTTTCAGTTCATTGCTCACTGACTGGTTCACTGTCCCTGGGCTTGGTCCAGCTGCTGCACGGAAGACGGGCTTTTGGCGTAGACTTGGCTTCCTTTCTGCAGTTCTCTGTCAGGTCCACCCGATCCAGGTCCTGCAGGACCCAGCAGTGATCCCCAAAAGCACAACTAAGTAACCCAGAGACAGCCTCACATCAAAAGATGAAGAGAAAAGGAGAGTCGGAGGGTGGTGGAGAGGGGAGTAAAGGAGAAGGGAAAGCCTATGCTAAAATGCCTTCTAAGATAAAAAGAAGGAGCGCCCACTCTCCACTCCTAGATGCCCTGGTGCAAAAAGGGGTAACAAACCACCCAAGGCCACACCTGACCGCGCTCGTTCCCTGGGCAGGAAGCGCGCAGCTGCTGGCCTCTGCGGGCCCGTGAGGGTTCTCAGATCCCCCTGCAGCCGCTCTGGCCCCATAGGGGCCTCCGTGGGCCTCCCCAGGCACCCCCGACCTTTCTGTTACATGTCCCCGAGCCGCCTCCGTGACACCGCCCTCTTTGCCCTCAATTGGTTCAGGCTGCTGCTGGTCACCTGCGGCTCCAACGCCACGTCAAGCACCTGGAGGCCGGGGAGGCACTTGAGCAGGTGGATGCCACGCCGGTGGCACACGCGGGCTCCACAGTTTCTCCCGCCTCAACGTTCCGCAGTGGCGCCGGCCGGTGGGCGTGAGGCGGCCCCTGCGGGGGCCCATTTAACCGAACTGGCCTTCGGGTCCCTGCACGCATGCGCAACCACCCGCGGCGGCGCCCCGCGGTACAACCCGGGGGCGGGGGTCGGCGGTCGGTGTAAATGGGACACGCAGCCCCGCGGCGGGCGCAGCCCTCCTGGCGCCAGGGTCCCACGTGGAGCGGCTCGCGGCTCCCCGGCCGACGGAGGTGGCGCCCGGCCTGGAGGGGCGCCTGGTGCTGGGCCTGAGCCGGCCTGGGCAGAGCGCTGCGGGCCTGCCGAGAGCGCCGGGGGCTGTCGCCGAGGCCTCCGCACGGTGCGCGGGGCCCGGCCGCCTCTCCCCCGGTCCGTCCCCTCGGGAAGGAGCCGCCCAGCCGCCACCGCGAGCGAGGCCGGTGCAGCCTCCCGGTGTCCCGCCCGAGGGCGCGGCGCTCGGTCTCCGCGCACTGCCAGCGCCGTGCCCGGGGTCGCCCTGGGCGTCCGAATAGCGCACGGCCATGCCCGTGCCCCACGGGTGAGGGGGCGCCGCACGGGACGGTGGGCCCTTAAGCTGCCCCGCGCTGCCCACCGCGCGCAGCACCTGCCCGGCGCACCCACACGCTGCCCTGCGCGGCCCGGCGGACACACGGCCCTGACCTTCGGGAGGCCCCCCCGGCGCCCGCGCCGCCGCCCCCAGAGCCACCCGGGACTGCTGCCCGCCTAGGGGCTGCCGCCGGGAACCGGGCCTGTGGGGCGCTCAGGCCTCAGCCCGCCACGGGAGGCCCGTCCCGGGAGCCCTGCCCGGCCCCGCGAGCACTCGGCCTACCTGCCGCCGGGGCAGCGCCGGCCCGGAGCACGAGGACCTCCGTCCTGGGCGCCGACAGCGCCGACACAGCGCCCGCGGGAGGGCCCGCGCGTCCCGGAGGCGCTGCGGGCGGGCGAGCACAGTGGGACCGCGACCTGCAGGGGGTCCCGCCCCGCCCCTTCCGT